ATTATTTTCCTTATGGTATTGTATTGAAATCGAAATTGATATGCTTTCAATGGTTAATCCAATTATCTGCTGAATTCCGCATGCGCCAAAATGCTGGTAAATAATGTACATACCCAGATAGACAGCTAAGGATCAGCGTTCTTCACGACAAACGAGCTATAAAAGCAAATAAACAAACGACAACTTGCATACAGTCATACATATATGGTTGGGGGGGGGGCAGATAGGACCCGCAAGAATAATTAGGCACTTGATTGACATGTGGGATAAGGAGACATACGCTTGGAATGCAGCAGCAAATTATCGAAACGGCTACCGGACGACTTGCTGTCGCTGCTGCGGTTAGCTGTGGCCGCCATTACTGCCATTGTATCAACCTGCTGTTGCGCTATCGTTATGTGCCTTTCGCGCACAATTGTTTTACCGTTGTGTGATGGCAAGTGGAGATATGGCCACATTACCACCGCCAACACAATGACACATACACAGTGGCAGACGAAGTAGTCGCCGCCGCCATCATCATCATCGTCATCATTATACGAGATCGTTACCAACGCCTCCCCTTCCACTGCTTCCTCCACTACATCTTGATCTTCCGGTATGGATTCACTACTGTGCTACTGCAGCATCGCAACATTGCAACATCTTGCGACCTGTGCTATCAACGCTATCGTCATCACACAATTTAGTCAAGCGGCTAATCCAATCTCAATTTAATGCAATGTCACGCCACCTTACAACACTCCCCGTACAACTACTCTTACTGAATTGCTACAATTTCTTATTGGCGTTCGCATCAGACTCGCAGCTATGAAGTCAAAGTGGAGCAAGGTTTGCACTCTTGTTGGGGTATTTAGTGGCGGCTGAGGGGTAACAGCGCAGTGCGGCTTGTATGACCGCAATATATTGCAATCCCGATATCTTTTGCAGTTTAACACACGGTGAGATGCACAGATAGCTCGTCGGTGTCGTCGTTGTCGTCCCACTCGTCGGTGTAGTTCGTTTTGAATGCAAAGCAAAGAACAAAATACAAGTATTTGGAAAAAAAAAGATGGGAACAATAGCCAATGAGGCAGTAAACAGTAAATTGGGTTAGCATTTGGTGTGTCATGAATAGAAGGATGTACTGGGATGTTGTACATATTGGCAGGTTTTTTTTACCAACCAACGGATCCCTCTCCAGTTCAATTCAAGTGAAATAATAGTTCTTTCTTTCAGAAGGCAGGTCGTTCGTATGCAGCTTAGATTTGCTAAGCGTATTCTTGAAAGAATTCTCCGAATACAAAACTGCCGTCAAGAAACATTCAAAGTCTTCAATTAGTCAATTCCGTAGCAGTATGTATGATACATAGCTGCTCTTCGTCACCCAAGAAGTTAAATGTGCCATCGAGATGCTCTGAACATTCAGAAACATTATACATAAGAGGGCGGTCCGATAAATATTTGAGTTGAAAGAAATACAAAAATATTGGAAAAATATTTCTCAACACAGCCTCCTTTTAGCTTGATACAGTGACGCAGCGATGCTCTAACTTGATCGATTAACTTCTCATTCAATTCAAATTTCTGCTTAGCTAGTGATATTTGAGTCGACGCGTTGTCATGTTGGATAATCAATGTTTTCTTCGGCGCCAAATTTGTTGCAATTTCGTAGGTTCTTCGGGTGAAGTCCACTGTTTCGACTGTTCCATGGTTTTTGGTGTATGCCAGTGGATCCAACGACGATCACGGTAACTGGAGGAGCTTACATACGAGAACCCATGCCATCAATTAGGTTGTTTGCCGTTCGCTCATCCACTGATTTTGCAATTTGATGAAACTTTTCGATTAAGTTCTTACTGCTGTGCAACACCATGCGCAACAATGTCGGAACTAAATGCCTAACAACTACTGCCACTGCAACAACAACAATTGTTTTTGTTTTTTACTCTACACCCAACTGCATCATTTGGTCTGATCTTTATTGCCCGATTGGTTTATTTATAATAATTAGATGTCCCACCTAGCAAAGAGTTTGTCATTGTTGTTATTTCGTTTAACCTTCTTTGGAATCGCACCGCATTCGACGGGCTTTATTAAAACCACTTTGAGTAGCAAGCAATTCCAGAAGCTTATCAAAATCTGCAGCGCACAAGACAACCAGACAGCCAAACGGCACCCAAAATGCTACCTGTATGAGCAACTGAACGCATTCACCACACATTTACTTCTGACGGTTGAACGGCGACTCATACACACTCGTACACCACGGGACTTGACGACACCACCACTGACTGCGATCGCAATTCCACTTAATTTGGCCCAACGTCTGCCGTGCACATCGAACAGCTAATCCGTTCGAGCAATCGCTCAGACTCTCCTCGGTCTGGTGCAACCACTTGGGAAGTTCATTCTCCAGTGTTCTAAATAAACACACACACTCTATAATGCACGTGTAGTTTAAGGTAAGAATAAACTCGGCATTTAGGAGTCGTCCAATATCACCAGATGATCGCTATTTGCTGGTCGCCCTGCCCAGCGCACAATTTGGCAAACCGCAGTGGCCAAAAGACACAGGCTTCTTCGTGTCTTGTATCCTGCGTAGACCACGTTGTATGCCAATGTTCGTTTGCCATATCTATGTAGGTGCGCGTATAGCTCGTAAATTCTTGAAGGTCTCACCTTTAGCGCTGTGTATGTGGCAGCCGCAGCCACATCAGCGTGCGATTGCAATCGAGAGTGATTTTATGTGGTGGCACTGTGTTGCCATACCCGCCAGCGCACCAGCATGCAGTGGCGATCATTGATCGTCGTCGATCGCAGTGTCGATCGTTGTGCGCAGCTTGGGCGTTTTTTGTAAATTGGCCACATTAACATGGTTGTTCGATTTATTAAGCGACTTCAATTTGCGTTCCCATTACATGCGGCCGCAAGTGAGTGCCAAGTGGTTGGCAGGTGGCAGCGTGCAGAAGCAAACAACCAACGGCTACTGCTAGCAGTGTGCCACTTGCTCCAAAAACCTTAAAAACAAAAGAGAGTATAATCCAAAGGAACCTGCCAGTACAGTTTAGCCAGCGTTAAATGCCTTAGTGCTATCGCTACTGTTAGTGGTTAGCGAGGTTAGCGTTCGGTTGTTGTTGCTTTCGCTGGCGCTTTGATTGTTTTATAATTATAATTGCATTTGAAGATGAGTGACGTGGCGGCAGAGGCGATGGCGACGCCGTTAGCGCTGTGAGAGGGCCAACAGCGTGCGATAATAATTCAAGACAATTTATTAGTGCCGACCAAATTGGTTGCAATCGAATGTGACAGGTCGGGTTGTGCCGGCCTCCAACCTAACTGCCTGGGCTCTAGAGTGCTTCAGTGGCTGGGTGTCTGCTTGCACGTCCGGTGTTGGTGCGCCGTATTATTGGCAGGGCGTTGCGTGAAATTGGCAATTCATTTAAATGAGAAATTGCTCAATTATTGCAACGAATTGAATTAAGATACGCGTTGAAATTAACGAAAACGCAAATTAAGTTGTTCCCAGGCGCTGAGGCCGGTTTAGAGATGCAAGTGGGGCAGGCAAGCTGCCTGCACTGTAAGGTTTTGATGAAGAAGGAAGAATGTATTCTGTGAGCACTTGGCTACTTCCTATTATTTAATAAGAAAATAAAAGAATACCAAGTAATTTGTAAGCAGTGATGCATGTGCCCTGCTTCACACTACACAAAGAACTAATAAATTAAGGTTTCAAGTTACTCTATAGTATAAGTTACTCGGGCAAGCCATAGATCAGAGAGAATACGTTTCCAAATTTGTAAGATCGTAAGTCGAATGTGAAATATTTATATGATTGGCGCTCTCATACTAAGTTTCATTGAGATATCTTCGCAATTTCAACCGATTAGACGAAATCGATAAACACCGTTTATCCATTAAAATATAGACCGATTTGCGTTGCTCTAAATCTTTGAAAGCTACGGCGCGGCGGTCCGATAATTGATTAGATCTTTAAAGAGAAACAGAAATTTTGTAAAGTTGGCAATTTATTTCTTCAAATAATCTTCTTTTAAATCGGTAACCTTGATCTAGCTCCGCTCCAACTTCTTTAACACATCTCAAAAATACTTAGGCTGCTCAAATTTCTGCCCAATGAGTGACTTTTTCATGTTTGGATAAACAGAAATTGAAAATGTGGAGAATATGTTGATTGAGATCTATTTGGACGTGACAAAGACGGAGCTGTCAGCTGGTCTAATTTGGTGGAAGAGCACTTTTTTCTTTGTAAAATGGGAACCTTTATCTTGATTCCATTTTAAAACATAATCTGCCTTACATCGTGTTCGATCCGAAGATCTACAAAATCTTTACATGATAAGAAATTTTATAGTATCACATACATATATAAGTACATATATTATATGTATAACTACCAGTTTTAGTCCGCACAGACAAAAAAAACTAAATCTTAATCTAGTTCAATACAAATCTTTATTATCACCTTCAAAACAGGCGCCTGAGCCAACACAAGCATGCCAACGTTTAAATGAATTTTCTATACACCCGTTATGAACTTCGGCTGGCACTGGAGGACATCAGTGCATTTAGGTTTTTTCGGTTTCGCATCACCACTAATTATGCGTTTGAAAAATGCAAGATCCTCAGCTACGTCGTCAAGCGTCTCTTGTGCGATCGTCGAGTCGTCGGTCGAGTTTTGCAAAAGATTCAGATCTGTTGATACGAGTCTAGCATTGAAACGCTTCATACCCAAAATATTAAGTAATTAATAATCAAGCAAATTGTCGATCTATCAGAGATGTTTCGATCCTCTGGTATCTCTCTGACGCCAACACGACGATTTTAAAGCACTGTTTCTTAAATTTTTTCCTAGTTATCCTCATAGCAGAGGCGGATGTAGCGTCGTAAACAAACAGCAGTGGTCAAATTCTATACAAAGACATAAAAGGTTGTACCAATCTAGGGACATTTTTTTATTGATCACTGTGCACCAGTCCGGGTCAAATTTGATCAGATTAATAATTTGTCGCTACAAGTAAATTATTGATTCATCATTGTCCACATACGACTCGTTTACGGCTTCTAACCCATGTACCTTCCCGTGGCACCCATTTACGTCATTTATTTCTATATTTTGCACACATGCCCCTAGCCATATACTAAGTATACCCACTGCCTATGTACGAGTATGTACTTATGTCTGCATGTATTTGGTACAAAGTGAATTGTTCGATTAATTGGATTATTGCGCGACAATGCTGCAACAACAAAAACATCTAAGATGTCGACGCTGATGATGACGACTGCAGCTATTTACAAGAGCATTTGCGACAACAGCAGCAATAACAACAACAAGAATAATAGTAATATAGTAGCATGGGAGAACTGATATAAAAACTGTCAGCGCTGATAAGAGCAAAAAAGCCTTTACAACCAAATATAATATGGCAGCAAACAAGCCAACAAATAAGTTAGCAGCAACAGCAATAACAGCAATATCAACAGCAACGCAACGCAACGCATTCCCAACGAAATTTGTATGAAGAAAAAGTGATTGCAACAGATGATGCCAGCCGTTTGGTGACTAGCGGTTAGATGCTAGCGGTTAGCGGGTTGCATACATCAACGCTGAAAGTCAACGCGTGTGCGCGCATATGTTGGCGTTGAATTTACAGCTACAAATCGTTTGATCAGCTTTAACTTAATTGTTGTCCATGCGCGGCCAACGTCCAGTGACCACAAAGTGAGTGTCGAGGGGTGCTGTGTAGCGGCCAATAGATCAACCGATCATCGTCAATCGCCACTGAGTTGATGGGCGACCGTTGATAGTAAAAAAAAAGTTGCATTTTTATTGTTGTCACAGCAATTTCAATTGGTCCGATGAACATTCCATCAACAAGTTCCGCCGACGAGCAGCGCAGTCGGCCAACGTACAAAAACTTGCATTTGTCCAGCGGCAAGCGGTGCTGAAGGTGGTGACGCGGAAGTCCGTGTATGCGTTAGGTGCTGCTGCTGCTAAAAAGTGAGCAAAAACAACAAAAGCAAAGCAGGCAATAGGCCCTCATCAATATTATGTCGAGGCAAAACGATTAATGATTGCCAAGGTGAAGATCTCATCGTCTTTTCTTTCGCTGACTGCTGCTGGCTCCTCGGCAGATTATTTTATTTTTATTTTTATTTTTCTTTCTTGTGGTTGTTCGCCATAAACTATTCCCTTGGTGGTGCTATTGCCATTACGCCAACAACATTTGTTATTGTATCTTATTGCTGATTCTTTTGTTTGTCTGTTTATTGGCTTTGTTTGACTTGTCTCTCGTTGTTCGTTGACGACCGCGCCTTTTGCTTCTTAATACTATTATTGTTGCTGTTGTTGTTGTTGGTTGCTTGCTGTTCGGCTACTGTGCGTCACTTGGTATTTATGCCAATTAGTATGAAATTTCTTGCGTCCGCGTGCGCGACAGGCATGGCTTCCGTTTAAACTGGTTGCAACACATTCCCCCTGTGCGTTGTCTCCACCGCGTGCTGCCACTCACCACCGCTAGTATTGCGCGTCCTGCGACATTCCGCTACATTTTGTCGCAGAAAATCATTCGACTAAATAAGGCGTGCAAATCACCTTTTAGCGCCATTTATTGTTTAGCCACGTTTTTGACTGTCGACCGCAAACTAAGTGTCTCCATTTATTTGGCATTTTTTCGTTGTTCGCTTTCAACTCTTCGGGTCTTCTTTCCTTAATTGTTGTTTTTTTTGTATAGCACATACCCGATGCTTTTGGGTGTTTTATCGTGAAATAATTCCCTAAATAAAATTTCGAAATTTAATTAGCTCTCGTGCGCTTTGAACGGTGCTTCTCACGATGGGTTTCAGTTGACGTCTTGTGTGTTCACCGCTAGGCATGCAAATTTTCTAGGAATCCGTTAAGTAAGAAAATAGTATTCAGTTTTGTTTATATCAATATATGTACATATGTTATGCGAAAGAGGGTCTAATTTTTGGTTCTTTGTGAGCTCTGAAAACTTTTAATAAGTAAAACGAATTGTTCGAATTTGCTTTTGTTGTTGTTGTAACATCATTCCTCTAGTTCTCGATATGTAAGAGTGGTGTAAGAGTCCCATCTACCGCATCTTTTATATGTATAATCCCAATAGACTCATCTAAGTTATAGCATTGTTATGATTTATGTTGTTTATAGGGATTTTGAATATATTTTTGGTTTCGTCCCAGTAACGGAAAATACAGACATTATCAAATAATGAGTTATAAAATAGGTATAAAACTCGGTAATAGTGGTTATTTTTTTACCTTAATTTTTACCTATATATAGGTAGGAAAGAACTTAATCTAAGCACTAAATTACGAGGTTTATTTAAAAATATTGCGAATTTTGTATTTCTTAAGAAAGTGTTTAAATATCTAATTTGTCCCTTTAAAGTAATCACCTCTAGATATAATGCACTTACACTATTAGGTAAGATCACAAAAAAATCCTTTTTTATGTGCTTTGAGGATTGGAAAAAATGCTGGCATAAGTACATTATATGTAGCCATGGTTGATTTGAAGGGAACAAAATATATATTTATGAAAAAAAATCACTTTCGTAAGAAATACTAAATTTGCGATACTTTTTGAACAAACCTCGTTTTCTAAATAAATAATTTCATGTAAATATACTAACAAACTCACACATCGCTCAATATATACGGTATAAAGCTCACCAGTTTACGGAAATTTGTGGACTAGGAGATATACAGAACATTATCCATTTTTGCACCAGGCTACACTATTCTCAGGAATAGATATCCACTTATGTTCATTGAAATTCCTTTATAAATTGACGGACATTTTCAGCATAAAGTCAGTCAAAAACATCGAAGTGCTTATATTCGGTATCCCTGGGCTTAAAAATGTATAGTTCGCTTTGGACCATTTGTAGCTAAGAGTTAACGGACATTAAAAACACTAGTTTTATTCTAATATATTCATTGATTCTCCGATTGGTCACGTCCGTTTTTTACATTACACCCTAAACAGGGTATATTAAGTTTGCAACAACGTGACGAGCTGAACAAATGATATGGATCTGAAATTTTGCGCATGTCCTTTTACCTCCAATAAGCTGCTTATTTGTCGGAAGCGCTCATATCGGACTACTATAGCATATAACTGCCATACAAGCCGACCGACCAATTTCCTTGTATGGAAACTTTTTATTTGAGAAGATATAAGCATATACATAGATAACATACAAACTGAACGATCATTATTAAGATAAAGTTAATTTTAAACTCTTTTACACTTTGAAATGCGGCTGGGAAATGTATTGTAGTCTAAGTTTTATGCGGTTTTTTGTTTTTTTTTTAGAAAAAATTCAGTTATTTTTTAATTTTAAATTTTCATATACCATATTACCTTTATGTGCAACATTTTATTAATTTCATTTTCTTTACAGGCTTATTTCGTTATTTGCCTATTTTTAAAGTATTTCTTATAGTTATCGATAACCATGGCATCTTTCCAATAAGAATTATTATTTCCAAAAATAAACTATTATACGAGTATATTTAGTATTTAAAATTTTTAATTAAATTTGTGAATATTAAATAGCAGCATGAAACTTTATGTTTTCAATGTGTTCACAGTTTCTTTGTTTAGATGTATGTATGTGAGCATTTAAATCAAATTTGTAAACGAACAATTATTTACCTTTGATTTTCCTAATTGAATAAGTGCATCGTTAACAGCGGCGAAGCGCGAAACAATGAAACTCCATTCACGTTCTCTTAATGGCAGCAGATTATGTTCTGATATTCTCTGATGAGCATTTTATATTTATGTTATTACATTTGCAGTCATGTTCCAATTATTTATCTGTTTATTTACATACTTTTAAAGGGTCCGCTGCTACGGTAGACATCTATCAGAGAATGTTAATAAAACATTTGCGCCTTCTCTATTTATTAACATTATCTGCATCTATATTCCAATGCTGTCGCGACTCAGCAATTATTTATGTTAATGTACAGAGCGCCGCAGTGTCTGGAAATAAATTATGTTGTTAACATTCTACTATTAATTTTGAAACCGTTTCTCCGAAGTGGGGCTATAATATAAATTAGACATTTGCTTAGGCAAAGTACTATATAATAAGAATATACTGTAAGTATATATTAAGAGAACACTGTATAACGAAAATCGAAATATTGACGAAGTTACCTATACATGAGCGTTTCGCAGTAGTACGCGCTGAGCCACACGATAGCTGCAAGCCCTGTTTCTTCCTAAACATTTATTTTGGTATACCAAAATTCGAAACGAACAGTCAGTGTACGATCGTTACTTAGTGCCTAAACATCTTCGAAGAGCGTAAAAATGGATTGAAAAGGAAAGAAACGCAATACCAGAAATCTTGGATATTTTATACGTTATTTTACTCATTAATAACTTTCGCAGGAACTAGATAATTTTTTTTTTGCATTTCCATTTTACAACCCAGTTTCTGCTAAAAAAATTTCACTGTTTTTTCGAAGTCAACCATTTTTTATTTTTCAACGAAATTGTATTTCAGCTGTCCACAAGCGACCAAATCATCTGGGCCAGCCACCTTCTCATATATGCACATGTACTTCAAAGCTCTTAATAAGATCCTTGAATGATTGAAAAATATCTTAAACTTGTTCCGTCGCAAACCGACATACCTCGCAATGGCTTAGCACGCATAACAATGTAGCGAGGTAGAAGTTTTTCAGGCTTTTGAAACAACCACTATTCACTGACCAATTAAAAGTTCTCATTGCAACTTGGACAGATATATCTTACATAAATCAAACAATAGTCTATGGTTATCTTGAATGCATGGTTATCTTCTGTGCATTATATTAATTTATTTTTACTAGTTGTTTGTTCGATTCGCTAAACCTTATTGAGTGGCCATGCACCAAATATTCTAGAATTTAGATGCATAATGAAAAACAGAAAATAATTAGTGTTATGTTTGCACCAATATTTAATAAAATTTTCGATAAGTTAAGGTCATTCCATTCATACGCTTTTACACGCCATTTATTTTGTCATCATCAAACCAAATATTTCGGTATCTGTTTTCATCTTTTAAATGCCTATTTAAATATTTTATTATCCACGCACAACACACATCCACTAAATGGAGGTGTTGCATGGCGATCCCGCATTTGTGTGTTTAAAAAACTCACATGAGAGCATTAATGCATATCTTCACAGTTTCCTCGATACCTACAGACATAGTACGCATCCATTTAGTGCGATAATTAATGAGCCGCATTTAATTTCGCTGCCACTTTGGTTACAGCAGCCGCCCCTTTCCAGCAGGCACGAAGAAAAACGATCGCAATTGTAGCGATCATTCACTCATTTGCCTCAACGGGTATATTCAACTTGCAGTTTCTGTGCTAGCAGTGCATACATGAGGCACGTATGTATAAATGTGTATGTTGCCACTTAGTTAATAGAGTGGCAATCTGTAATTGCGATGTTTCATTAACAACATTAGCACTCGCCATATATCATTAATGTTTTGTAGTACTCTGTACATATGCATGTGAATGTACATATGTATTACATACCGAGTGAATACACATACACATGTGAAGGCGAATGAATTTTTGAATGTCCCCAATGCGTTAGCTCTTGAGCTGCTCTGATTTATGCTCACTTGTAGGCTGTCAAGTCAACATTGCCACCATAGCATACGTACATACTTATAGTTACATACATGCATACATATGTATATGTATGCTTATTACACTCGAGTGTCTTTTCCTATTACAAGAACGTAACAAATACCTATGGTGGGTGGCACGCAGGCGCTGATCCATCTTTCTTTGAAATTTGGCCGCCGCACAGTGGTAGGAAAGTATTAAACTTGACTTAAAATTAAAATAAATATCATATACATATTGTGTGACTATTTAATTTGATGTAGGAATAAAAAATTTAAATATTTCACAAATATGCATTTTCCTTGCTCATATTATTAAGAAACTCTCTAAGTCCCGAGTCACGACACGTATTGCTCTGGCAGATGACGCTTGCTCTATCTCGTATTGAGAATAGTCTTAACATTGTGAAAGACGCAGCAGAAGGAATATTTGAATTTCATCAAGAACAACCGAGGGTCACAAACTCGAATGGTCTCTTATAAGAAAGTCTCCTTACGAATCAATGTGGCCATTGCTTACCCGCATAAAGAAGGTGTTTAATTTTTGGGACACGCAGGTGAAGAAATATTTTGTTTAGTTATTTTTAAAAAATACTAAAGTCGTTTGTTAAGGTTCGCCATGGTTGTCGTTAATATTGAGTCATCATTTTAAGTATCAGTAATGAGACAACTTTGAATCAGCCTATGAAAATATGATTTCTAGCTTTATCAGTAATATAATTTTATAATTAGGAGATAATAAATCTAGAGTAACCATTGGAGCTACAGCTCATTAAGCGCTAATGTCAGGATAGAGCGTAAATATTAGAAGTGCTCCGAAATAGGGTTGTAAAACACAGGATCAGATGTAACTGGAGAATATAAGGCGAACACCAAAATTTACGAATAATAACAAATGTTTTGACATTTAGTCAATTTGGCTACATTTGTGCCATAAAAGGAAAAGACAGAAAGGAAAAGAAAATACAGCTGGCTCGATAGAAACAGAGGATGTAGTTCCTTTAATCTGCCCAGATCATTTTGCTCCTTCAAAGTTTACTCTATTTGGGCTCTAGAGGAACACCTCAGGTCTTGGAACAAAAAAGTACTTTGAGGTAGTGTTGCGGTCAGACCAAAAAACGTTAACTTTTAGGGTACTGCGAACTAAGCATCAATATAGGTGTTAAAATCTGCTAAAATTTACATCTCCAGAAGCCTGGTAAAGTAGAATGCAGAGCATCCGCGGAAAATGTTGAGACGTTATAGCAGTACCTCTGTTAATCGGCAGAATTCAGTTGGCTTAGTTCCAACTTAAAATATATTGTATAGTTAAACAAATGAGAGATTTTGTCAAATCCACCGAGTTGCTGAACAGGGCTTTATTGAGTAACGTCTCTTTTTAAAAACCAGTTCCGGGCCGGGACCGATTTAAAGTAAAGCAATAAAATTCTAAAAAAATTTCAGAAATTCTCCATTACGTGCTGCTCAATTTTATATATGTACATATATACATATATGTATAACATATTTTAATAGCAATACTTCAGCTTGAGAATATTAATGTAATGGGTTGCATATAGGCCACATCCTACAACATTGATCATTTGTTAAACGCTTGCACGCCGGTCTCATTTTGGCACCCCTTTTTCACTTATCGGCATAAATATAATTTTCCATTTTGAGTTGTTTGGGGGGAAAATTAAATAGCTATCCTTGGTCTTTCCGCCAGTTGTTGTTCATGCTATTGTGGTTGTTGTACTCACCTCAACATACATATGCGCCTACATAAGTGGCATATTTAGCTGTCACATTTTACATGCCAAAAATTTCCCTAATGTGATCTCAAGTGTCGAAATGATCGGCGTGGATGCTTGCAATCGCCCGTTCGGTTGCTCGATCGCTTGGTTTGTTCATTCGTTTGGCTACGCGTTGAACTACAACTTGTAGTTCGTTGCTGGCTCGGCGGTACGGCTATTCGCTTCGCTGGCTCTTGGTGACACATGTGACAACGTCATCATCATCATTACTGTCGACAGCAACACACATAAAGTTGCGCCATACGCCAATAAAGTGTTGCACTTGAAAATTAATGGACTGCACAAACGCCCGATCAGCTACCAACCTTAAATGCTAATGTATATATGTACTTACTATATATCTATATACATACATACACCGCCGCTTGGCCACCGTTGCACTTCATCGTTTAATCACTAGGAATGCGCTCATTCAAAGCACATTTATGTATATGTGTGTAAGTGTCTCCTCAATTGGCAGCACTTATGTACATATGTATGTGCATATGCATCGTTCTCCATCTGCTTGCCACTTTCCTGCTGTTGTTGATGAAGTTGTTTGCTGTGATTTAGGCGCAGTAATAAATTTTGTGGTTTAATGGGGCGGTCGTCTCTTCGTACCCTACAGCCTGCAAAAACTGTTCCCTGCTCCGCCATTTATTATGCCATTTAGTTGTTCATTGAGTAGGTTTTCCTTTGATTTTCTTCCGCCCATTAGTAGTCTTTGGCAGTTAAATGCACTAAATGCCACTGCAAGTTTTGAGTATATAGTTAGAGATAAATTATAAATATACATTTGGATAAATATAAATACGTAAATATATATGTACACGTACTCGTATATGTAGATCTACAAATAAAATTTGTGTTTCTGCACATTTGGAGTGACATATGGCAGTTTCATATTGCTTGACGTAGCAAAAGCTACACCTTAAAAACTTTGTTTAAATAATTTTTCAAATGGGTGTCTATATATTGATGATATTTGATGCAAAATATGTGCAACACAACTATTTAAAAACGTTTTTTGTGGAAAACCCTCTCAACATGTTCACAACAACAATCCGAAGAGCCTTAACGACGTTAAGCTCGTTCGTATAATTTTCTATATAATATAAAAATAAATAACAGTTTGGACGTTTAAAATATAATATTCAAAGCAAAAATCGTATCTAAGGTGTTCCTTTTAGTTTTGAAAATATTTTAAAAACGATAATAATTCCCGGAGTATAAATATGTCTGAAAGATGACGCTGTAGTGAGTAAAGTATTTCAAAAACTATATTCAAATTCTAATAAAGTATATGTATGTACGAGTATGTATACGTACATACTAATATGCTATTTTTACAAATTATTCAAGTTTAATGAGCACATCGTTTGTGAAATTCAAAAAAAATCAGTTTTTATTTCTAATTTCGATAGATTATACCTTTAAAAATAACATACTAAAATTTTAAGTTGCTATGTCAAATAGTTTTTGAGATACAGCATTCTGTGGAGTAGCCGCTCTAAACAACTAGCTCCATCAGTTTATCTTCAAACGCGAGTTTTCTCAAAATTACATTTTTCGAATTTGTTTGATTGATTACTCGAAAACAAGTGATACGATCACTATCAATTTTTTCTGCATGTTCTGTATATATGTACGTATGTAGTTCTCCATACAATGACCTATCAGCTTTTTGATCTGATCACAAATCGATTATCGACAGGCTTAAACGACCAACATTTTGGGTAAAGTGCAAATTACTTTTTTTAAAACTCCGCCATTTTGACAATTCCAGAGTCATTTTATAGAAATTGTATTTTAGGCTTCCTTCACGGAATCACAGTCACGGTCTCGATACAGTTGTGAAGCGCATGGTTACTGGTGATGAAAAGCGGACCATTTACTACTTACGGCAAGCGAAAACGGTAATTTTCGCATCGCATTGAGCTGGTGGTGAACAAGCCAGAATTGATGGTAACGAAGGTTTTGCTATGTGTTTTGTAGGATTGACAGGGAATTATTTAGGAGCTGCTTCCCTAAAGCCAAACTCTTAATTCGGAGTTGTACTGTCAACAATTGGAACGTCTGAAGGAAGCAGTCGCACAGAAGCGGTCAGCTTTGGTCAATAGGAGAGCAGCTGTGTTCAATCAGTACAACGCTAAGTCAGAAACATCGATAGGGAACCACCAGAGTCTTCGGGAGCTTGTGTTGAAGATTCTTATGCATCTGCCTTATAGACTGGAGCCGACACCAAGTGATTATTACCAGTTCCTGTCTACAGCAAATGATTTGCTTGTGAAAAAATTCGCCGCAAGAGAAGCTTGTGAAAATCGACTGTAAATGATCACCGCGACGAGCTGAGCAAATTTAACCGTGTTTGTCTGTCTGTGCGTCACTCTATACATATCGATCTAAAACTCTGCATACGTCCTTTTCTCCAAAAGAATCTGCTTATTTGTCGCAACCACCGATATTGAACTAGTATAACATATAGCCGCCATACAAGCTGAGCAAAATATTAATCATTCGAATATTATGATTAGTTTAGTTCTTTTAAAAACTTCTCCAAAGGTTGCGCGTATAGAAACAAATCTCTTGTATATACCAGGCTATTGGATTTATTATATATCGATTGTTTGTTCGGCAGCCTACTGTCAAAGGGTAAGTTCGCCATTACAATTCCGTACTACTTGTAGTAATTTAAAGCACACACTCATAAAATGCACTAAGAGAGAGAGAGAAAAGTTCTTTAAGGTTCCAAATTTTTAATTGGTTTTAATTACACTAAATCTTGTGCACTCTGGAAATAGTTCGCACAATTTTTTTACGAACATTTTTTTATCTCAGTTCCTCTCAACTCTTCTTATCTGCAATATACATACATATGTATTTTTTTCAAGAATCGTGAACAAAACTCCCGAGAACAATGCAGCAACAAACAGTTTCTTGAATCAGAACTATGACAGGACATACATATATAGTACATACAAGTATATATACATTCCTTCGATATCCTTATCACAGCGCAGTGCCAATAACAATCAACATAATAAGAGCAAAATAATACAACAACAACAGAGAGCTTGTTCACCAAACAACGAAGACACTTGGTCGCCTTAAGTGGACATTTAGACAACGCTGTTAAGAGGCAAGCAAACAAGCACACCTGCACACACACACACACTCATCTTACGAAACGAAATTTCGATAAGCACTTACTTCTACTATATCTGTATGTGTGTGTATATAATATACCTATGTATGTCTATATGTACTATATAGTATATACTCGCGCTTGGATACTCTTTTGCAAGTGCAGCGCTGCGCTGGAATGCAATTTGCGCCTGCGCAATAAATATATAGCACTACCAAAGACAGTCCGCAGAGTTGGCGTAGCGTTTTGAGTAGTTGTTAAGTGTGGCGAAGTGTCGCTCGGCTTGTTAGCCAACAATTTATGCCATTTTTGAACAATTGTTGTACATTTTGCACAGGTTGATGGTGTAAATTTTAATTTGGCCACTGTCATTCTGGACAATGGATTATGTAGCTGATGTTGTTGTTGACAATGAGGGAGGTGGGAGGTAGCTAAAAATGTCTGTAATAAAAGCATGACTGGACCAGGGAATGTTTTGATGCGGAAATTCATTGAATAGCGTGTTGTCGAGCGGCGTAAACTATGCATTTTAATTTCAGAAAGTTCATTATTATAATACAATACATGGAATATAATTCAAATAGTTCGGAAAATCTTGTACTGTATATATATTTACATATATGTATATACATATATTTTTTTTGCATTCCAAACGAGAAAGTAATCAAAAATTTCAATTAAACAATTTGTTCGAAGATTGTACCGTTGACTTGGATAATAATTCATGCCGAATTTCATGAAGATATCTTGTTAAATAACAAATGTACTTTCTATTTCATTACGATAGCTCACATATTGACCGATATAATATAAAGTCAGACGGAAGTTCGAAAATCTCTCTATTATGAATATGGGCGGTGCCACACCCACATTCCAAATTTGACACCGGCTCCTACAAACCCCTCTCATACCGTTTCGGGTGTAAAATTTTATGTCTCTGGCGTATTTAGTTATAGATTTATGACCTTTTAAGTAGTTTTTAACAAAACCGTCATATGGGGAGTGGGCGGGATTATCATCCGATTTCACCTATTATCACCATATTGTAAAAAGGGTTGGAACCATTTACCCTGTGATATAAGATTTATTGGTTTGGAAGATATATATATTAAACTTATGAGGGGGCGTTCTCACTTTATAAGTTTTCGATTAATGGCGATTTTTGGGCGTGGCAGTAGCCGGATCATGTGTACCAAATTTTATCAAGATCTCTTAGTTTTTACTCAAGCTACAGCTTGCACGGTTAGACAGACAGACGGACGGACAGACAATCACCCGGATTTCAACTCGTCTCGTCATCCTGATCATTTATGTATGTGTATATAACTCAATATCCATATCGATTAGTTTTAGCTGATACAAACAACAGTTAGCTGAAAAAACTATTATACTCTGTAGCAACATGTTGCAAGAGTAAAAAAAGTCAGTTTGTGTGGCAGATATATACTATAGTGTCCGATATCAGGGGAAACATGGCGTGTGCAAAATTTAAGACTAGTTCGTGTATATACAGACGCACATGGCTAAATCGATTCAGTTCGTCACGCTGATCATTTATATATATGTATGTATATACTTTATGGGGAATTCAACGTTTCCTTTTGGGTGTTATAAACTTCGTGGCAGTTTTAATATAGCTTGTTAACGTGGGGTCGGTGTACTGTCTTGACATTCTTTCACAGATTATATCCTTCGCATATATTCTTCACTATATATCCTCTGGTACCTCTGTCCAGCATTATTAATAATTAATTGGGAAATTTTTTCCGATGGCAGAACAAAAACGATAAAACTATCTTATATCTAAGAGTGTTGAAGACATGTCTATATATCGCTAATCTCTGCAAGAAACTTAAAAATGGAGTTTCATCAATTTGTCAGTAGAGATTCTGAAATCATCTTATCAAAATATTTGACTGGATTCAAACTCGATACCACCAACTTTTATTAATGATATCTGGATGTGACAACAGCTCGCATATACAAACTTTTCTCTGTAGAAATCTTTCAATCAATATTTTACTATTAATATTTTATTAACACTATGTGAGAATAGAATTGAAGTCTGCAAAAGCTGCATTACAATGGAATTGGCGCCAAATTCATTTTATTTTGCACACTCACCTAGAACTCCGACGTACTCTACTTACCATATTGTGAGTTCGTGTCTCAAGATCATCGGATAAATTTTTTTTTTCAAACGAAAGTAAAAAATTTTGTATACCAAATTTAATATTTATCGCATCAATTGAATAAATCAATTAAATAAAACTTTTTAAATAGTTAGCAACCCCTTTAAAATATATTTGCACTGTCAACATATTTTCAGCACTTCTATTTAATAATTTTATTGTTATACCTTCTTAAAGCTCTTTAGAATGATATTCATATTTTGATAATTTGAAGAACTTATAATTTACAGAAATATTTCTTTACGTCTAATTTTCCAACAGGTGGCAACAACAGAAGTTTTTGCTTTAAGCCACCTGGGTGTTAAATCGAACAAACACATGTGGATATTACGATCGGACCGGTGTTCACTTTGGTGGCGAGATATAACTGCAAGCGTGATGATATTTCGTCGCGCAACAACATTTTGTTGCAATCAATCGATTTTTATTATTATGCTTACGATAGTTTAGGTAGTCATTAAAATGCTTAGCCCAATTAGATTCACATATTTATCAAGCGCTTTTATTGCAATTCTTTCTGGGTCTTGACTCCCACTGCTCTTACTCTGCCTCATCTAAGTTCTCTGTTTCGCCTTCCTCTGCGCAATCCCAATTTTAAAAGGAATTCAATCTATTATGCGAGCATTAACAATGGCGATACAATAGTTGTTGTTTTTGTTGCTGTTGTTGTATTTCATTTAAATATGTTTGCGCACAAAAGGGCAACGCAAAATAATTGTCTGTGTCACCATTTGGTCAACGATTTTACCAAAAACAGAAGTCACTTGCAGCCATTGTTCTACTGATCACTTTTATGTGGACTGGATGC